GTGGTGGGAAACTGCTTCCCTTTCCTGAGGCGCCGGATGGTTTGCCAGAATTTCTTCGAGGCCGACCGATAGTCCTCCTCCATGGCCTCCCCGAACTTTTCCCCGACTCGAGTTTTTGCTTCCGCGACTGCCCGAGCTGCAGTCCGCTTGGCCTGCCTGTACTTTTCGGCTGCTTCAGGAGTCCTACGAACCAACCAGGCTCGATAGGACTCCTTCTTGAGGTTGACTACTTCCCTTACTTCCGGTGTCCACCACCGGGTTCGGGGATTGCCGCCACGACAGGCACCGGAGACCTTACGTCCGCAGCTTCGGACAGCCGCATCAACAATGGAAGTGGAGAACATAGTCCACTCAGACTCAATGTCTCCAGCCTCCCTCGGGACCTGTTCAAAACTCTCCCGGAGGTGGGAGTTGAAGGCCCCCCTCACCGGGGATTCTGCCAGACGTTCCCAACAGACCCTCACGATACGTTTGGGTCTGCCAGGTCTATCCAGCTTTGCCCCTCGTAAGCGGAGCCAACTCACCACCAGGTGGTGATCAGTTGAGAGCTCAGCCCCTCTCTTCACCCGAGTGTCCAATACATACGGCCGGATGTCAGATGACACGACTACAAAGTCGATCATTGACCTCCGGCCTAGGGTGTCCTGGTGCCAAGTGCACTGGTGGACACCTTTATGCTTGAACATGGTGTTTGTTATGGACAAACTGTGACTAGCACAGAAGTCCAATAACAAAACACCACTCGGATTTAGATCGGGGAGGCCGTTCTTCCCAATCACGCCCCTCCAGGTGTCACTGTCGTTGCCCACGTGGGCGTTGAAGTCCCCCAACAGGACGATGGAATCCCCGGGAGGAGCACTGTCCAGTACTCCTCTCAGTGTCAGCAAGAAGGCCGGGTATTCTGCACTGCTGTTCGGCCCGTAGGCCGAAACTACAGTGAGGCACCTGTCCCTGACCCGAAGGCGCAGGGAAGCGACCCTCTCACTCAGTGGGGAGAACTCCAACACACGACTGGCAAGCTGGGGGGCTATAAGTAAGCCTACGCCAGCACGCCGTCTCTCACCGCGGGCAACTCCAGAGTAGAAAAGGGTCCAGCCTCTCTCAAGGAGTTGGGTCCCAGAGTCCAAGCTGTGTGTGGAGGTGAGCCCGACTATATCTAGTCGGTATCTCTCAACCTCCTGCACGAGCTCAGGCTCCTTTCCCCCCAGCGAGGTGACATTCCATGTCCCCATAGCTAGAGTGGTTGTCCAGGGATTGGGCCGTCGTGGTCTCCGCCCACAACCGCCACCCAAATCACAAGGCACCGGCCCCTTGTGGGCCTTCCTGCGGGTGGTGGGCCCACTGGAAAGCGGACTCACGTCGCTTGTTCGGGCTGAGCCCGGCCGAGTCCCGTGAGCAAGGACCCGGCCACCAGGCGCTCGCCTGCGAGCCCCAACCCCGGGCCTGGCTCCAGAGTGGGGCCCCGGTGACGCCAATCCGGGCGACGTGAACCTCTTTGCTGTATTTTTCTTCATCACAAAGGGGGGGGTTGAACCGCTATTTGTCTGATCCGTCGCCTCATTCTAAATAAAGGGTTTATTTTTTAACTGTCATGTGAACAATGTGTGCAATTTCCTGTGCTGTAAAATTAAGCTTTTTTTTAATATAACCAAACCCATTTATCCTTGGTGCTTGTACTTATAGGTTCTTTTTGTGATGGCTTTTATAATGCAAAAGGAAATTAGATTAACATAGAAGCACAAACATCCCAGTGTCCCCTCCTCAATGTATTTCCAGAATATAGGTGATGCCAAATTTAGTAAACAATAGAAGTGATGTTTCACTCCTTATTTTTATTTGCCACCATGTGTCGTACTGCAGCTCTAGGACTGTTGACATGCACCACACAAATAGAAACAGGTTTTAGCAAACACAAACACTCTAGGTCAGACAAATTATGTACCAAGAAAAACCCAATTAGCACAAGATGTAAACACACCTCACTTATCTAAAGCACAAAAGAAACTTCAACCTCAGCCACTCCTTCACAGTCTCCTATCACTGCAACCTTGAGATCAATGGATTAAAAATGTCAGCTAAAAACAAAAGGCGGAAATGATGGCCAAGGACAAGAATCCAAAAGAAGAGATTGGGCATGTAGTGAAGAAGAGGCTGGAGATTAAGTGGTTGGTGAAGACGGTTACCAGGAATAACAAAAAAGGAAATATGACGTATGTCGGTCAAATTTTCATCAATTACATTAAAAATGGCTCCAATCAGATCAATCATCCATTCATCTTGTCCACACGGCTTCTTTTGTTAGAGAATGAAAAAAAAAAAGAGAAAGACACCATGAAGATGAAGATGGTGAAGAAGAGGTCAACAAGGACAACTGACTTCACTGCAGAAAAAACAAAACATGATGTAAATAGAAGGAAACAGTCTGATGGTATTACTCAAGACGAAGCAACCAACAGAAGATAACAATAGGTTTGGAACTTTCTCTTTTAGATCCCTGTTCTCCTAGATGTCACAATTACAACATTATCACATATTGTTCTTAAAAGTATGTTTTAAGCAGCACTGAGTAACTCCAGCCTTAAAAGGAAATAAAAAACATTGTCAGCCCTCCATGTCCTCCTGTATCACTGTGCTGCAGCTCTGAGCTGGCAGTTGGTTGGGCTATGGTGGGAGTTTTGTGACCACTTGACCTCTCTGTTGAACAACACACACCTCCAGGTCTAAGCTTGGTGGGTTTTTTACATATGTGTGGTGATTGAGCGAGTGGGCATGAGTATGATTGCTTCCTCCCAAACAGTGAGTTAGACTGTCACCCTGATATGACATGGTATAAACTTACTAATGGTACTAATAGATGTCACATGTGTTCAGGTCTTTGGGTTTGGCCACAATTCTAATGCATAACTCACAGTGTATCAGTGTGTATAGGTGTGAGATCCCAGGTGTTTTAGGACAGGCAATAGACGACACCTTTGACACTCTGC